AAGGTTGGGATTTACGGGAAGCCAAGGTGGTGTGCAGGCAGCTGGGCTGTGGGACAGCATTATCATCCCCAAAGAAGTCAAAATACGGAGAAGGGAAGGGCCAGATCTGGCTGAGTGATTTGGACTGCAAAGGTACAGAAGGGTCCCTCTCCAACTGCAAGTCGAAGGCATGGGGAGAGAACGCCTGCAACCATGTGGAAGATGCCAGTGTGGAGTGCGCAGGTAACCTCCAGAACTCTTCTACTTTGTGTCTCTTCTGTCTTAAAAAAGCTATGGGGCAACTTCTGAGCCATCCAGTTAGGAGGTTAGGGATTCAGAGTGACTTTGTTGAGCTCTAGCATCCTATCGCCTTGAGCCAGAGAAGCTGTATCACATGCCCTACAGAGCTGGGATTGGAGACATTTGGTCTTCTCCCTTTTCTGACAACCTCCAGCCTGGTTTTATTTCTCCACAAACCTTTCTTCTTAGCCAGAAGGTAGGAGGGGAGCCTTTGTCAAGTTAGGAATGAGCAGAGAGTTTTGGTACACTGTGGGAGATTCTGCTTTCTCCAGGTGGTCAGGGGCACAGAGACTTCTCCAAAACTTCTCCCTGGCTTGTTTTGTTGCTTTTTTGTTTGATTGTTGTGTTTGTTTGTTTTTGTTGTTGTTTGTTTATTCATTTACCTATTTATTCCATTTTTAGAAACAGAAATACCTGAGCCAGGGCCACTTCGTCTGGTGGGAGGCCCAAACCGATGTGCTGGAAGAGTTGAGGTTCTTCACGAAGAGCAGTGGGGCAGCGTGTGCCATGATGAATGGGATATCAATGATGCTCAAGTTGTGTGCAAGCAACTGGGTTGTGGGGATGCAGTACTGGCCCCAATTGCAGCAAAGTTTGGGCGAGGAACTGACACCATCTGGCTGGATGATGTGAACTGCACAGGGTTGGAAGCATCTCTCTCTGAATGCCAGGCAAGGCCATGGGGGGACCACAATTGTTACCATGGGGAAGATGCCAGTGCAATTTGTTCAGGTAATCTTTGCATTCTCCTTTTGCTAGCAATGCATTGAGATGTCCTTCATATGAATGTGGCTACAATCTTGGACAGAAACAAGGGCTTACTACAAAGTAGCCTTACTACTATTCCCCGACTGCTGGTTCTGTTGGTTTGGGATCCTTGCACCATAGAAGAAGGTTTAAATTTGGTAGGCCGTCTCCTCACTGTGGTGCTCTGTCATTTTTCTCCAGCTCAAGCTAGAGGTTAAGGTCCATAAGCATGGGAGGGAGATGATATGCAGCAGGGGCATAAACATGCATGTGCATAACCTTCTGTCTTCCTGAGCATGCCCTCTCTGGATTTGCCCACAGATTCGGGGATCACCATCTCCACTTCAGTTCGCCTGGTGGGAGGCCCAAACCGCTGCTCTGGGAGAGTTGAGGTGCTTCACAACAATGTCTGGGGGACCGTGTGTGATGACAACTGGGATTTACGGGAGGCCAAAGTGGTGTGCAAACAGCTGGGCTGTGGGACAGCCCTATCAGCCCTGCCAGAGTCAAAATATGGAGAAGGAAAAGGCCAAATCTGGCTGACTGATGTGAACTGCACAGGGACAGAAGGATCTCTCACTGAGTGTGAAGCAAAGCCATGGGGAGAGAATGTCTGTAATCATGTGGAAGATGCCAGTGTGGAGTGCTCAGGTAACCATCTCTGACTCCAACACTGCATGTGCTGAGCAGTGGGATAGGCAGATCCCACCACACATCAGCTTGAAACAGGGTTCATCCCGAGCCCCTCTAGAAAGGGCATTGCAGATCTGTGTATATCTGCTGGTGGAAATAGGGACATGGCTGATGAACTTATCCCATCACTGACAGCCAGCCTTGTGATGCAATGGTGACACATGGACGTGGCATTAAATCTTCTCCTACCTGAGGCCATTGTGGTCTCTTGTCCCACCTCTGTCCTGAAGGCTCAATAGTCTCCTTGAGTTAGTAGAGCCTGCAGCCATTCATAAATACCAGAAAAACCTCCTTCTGCCCTTTCTCCACAGTGTTTTTCTGGGTTTTCTGCTATTTTATTCCCACACCAGAAAAGCCCAGGTACTCTTAGAAGGAATCCCTTGGCATTTCTCTATTGTGTTCAAACGCCTCTGCATGCTGTCCACAGGCAGTGAGGGATGCTCCCTTAACCTTTATTTTCTCGGCATTTGTGCAGAGACAGATATTTCTGAGATTGGACCAGTTCGGCTTGTGGATGGCCCAAACAAATGTGCTGGAAGAGTTGAGGTTTTACATGAGAATCGTTGGGGTAGTGTGTGTGATGACTTCTGGGACATGAAGGATGCCAAGGTGGTTTGCAAGCAGGTGGGCTGTGGGTCGCCGCTGTCAGCCTTGGGAGGTGCTCGCTATGGCCGAGGGCCAGATGTCATCTGGCTGGATGATGTGAATTGCGAAGGGACAGAAGAAAGCATCTCTGACTGTAAGGCAAGGCCGTGGGGTGAACACGACTGCTATCACGGAGAGGACGCTTCTGTTTTCTGCACAGGTAGTTATCCAACCCTCTGACACCTGAACTGATGTGAGGACAGAGACAAATAGTTCTGGCAGAGCCAAAACAGGCTGGAGTGCGGAGGACAAAAGGAGAATCCCGAGGGAATCCTGGGAAGGCTCTCCTTTTCAGAATTGTGCTTTTAGAGTACAGCAGGGAGCCATAAGGAATAGGAAACATCTGACTAAGATGGATATAGTGGACCAGCTGGCAACAGCAGAGCACAAAGACAACCTGACTATGGGATGGGTCACAGAATCACAGACCACTGTTAACGTAGGTTCCCTATATCAAGTTGCACAGGAAAACAGTCAGGTAGGTTTTGAATATCTCAGAGTCAGAGGAGACTCCAGAACTGGACACAGTGCTCCAGATGTGGCCTCCCCAGAGCAGAGAAGAGGACACTCATCTCCCTCTGCCTGCTGGCCACACTCTTTCTAATGCACCCCAGGATACCATTGGCCTTCTTGGCTGCAAGGGCACATTGCTGGTTCATGGCCAACCTTTTGGCCATCAGGATAACCAGGTCCTTCTCCACGGAGCTCCTTTCCAGCAGGCCATCCCCTAATCCGTATTGTTATTCTTCACCCCACCTCCTAGAGTTCAGGACTCCACACTTGTCCTTATCAATGCTCGTAATATTCCTTTCTATCCAATACTTCAGCTTTTCCAGGTGTCACTGAATGGCAGCACAGTCACCTGGTACGTCAGCCACTTCTCCCAGCAAGGGAAGGCAGAACAGTTTCTGGGATAGGAGGCAATGACAAGCATCTCTGGAAAGTAGGAGAAAGACAGCTGGAACTTTGTTTGGGGAGAGAGACCTCCCTGTATCATCCATATTCAAGAAATATTTAAGTTGAATGCTCCGAAGCCTCTGTGACCCTAACTCCTCACTTCTAATGCTTTTTCTCTTAGGAGAGAATCTTGGACAGGCCCTACATGGGTGAAAGAAGGAGCCCTTGATGGTCTTCAGCTAGTTGCTGGGCTTTAGGTGTTTCTCAGACCCACGCTGTGCTGTCAGAACCACATGGTGCCCTGGATCAAGCAGTGTGTTGTGCACTGGGCTGAGAATCTGCTCTTCATGCAGCCACATTCTGGCTCCCATGGGAACTTGTCCAAAGCTCTAGGGTCCAGTTTCTTTGCCAATATCCACACGTATATGGATATAATCTAAACTGTAGATCTTCTTGTAGAGCAATGTCCGTATCACTTTTGCCTGCAATTCTGGTGCAGAATTCCTGAGAAGAGATTTCACTTACCTTGTCCCTTTTCTTTGCAGTTGACAAGAATCTGGAGGAGACAGAAACATCGTGAGCGCCACACTGTCCCCATCGGACTGTGCTCATCTTGCCACATGAGGTGGGCCAGCAAAGTTCAGCTGAGAAGAATGGCAAAGATATTATAGAAACTTTCATCTGCCACAATGGAACTCAGGGAATGACAAAACCATTCCCTCACCCTTTGAATGATCAGCGAGCTCAGCTGTAACTACATTGATGGAAAAGATGGCATTCCCACAAAAAGCAAATATCACAAAGTTTCAATAAACTTCTCCTAAATCTGATGACCTCACTTATTGCTTATGGACCTCAGGTGACTGAGCACATATCTGGCAAGAATATTTCTCCAATATCATGAATACCAAGGTCGTGGAAGTATCTATGCTGAGAAACATTTCCTTCCAATGAGATTCAGTCTTGTAAGAAGGCCATCCATAAAATCATTGGGAAGGGTATTACACAGTGCAAGCTTAGTTTATAGGTTTGTTTGCCCTTCCTTATAGAGAATCAACTGCACCCTTATGGAAAAATTCACCCCTTATCCTCTCTCATTCTTTGCACAGACTGAAGCTGGCCCTTCACAGGTGGACAATTTCCCATTTTGGGGATGTCCAGTCAAGCCTTGATGCCTAACACAAGTTATTATTATCTTTTTTGTGTAATTTGATGCAATATGCTTTGTGCCCATTAGCAGAGAATTAATGTTTTATCCTAGAAAAACAAAGAGCTAGGGTCTTCATCTCAGTATTTACAGCCAGTGCCTCCAAGTCAAATCAAGCTGTTTTTATGGGCAGATGACATTACAGCCTGTACTGGTTTTATCCTGGACAGAGTTCCTATTCTTCATAGTAGCTGTATGGTGATGTGGACTTAGGATGAGAATAATGTTGGTCAACCAGCAGTGTTTTAGTGTCACTAAGTGGTGCTCATACAATGCCAAGTCCTTTTCAGCTTCTCAGCAAGGAGCTGGGGGTGCACAGGGAGTGAGAATGGGGCAGAACTAAGACAGCTGATCCAAATTAGCCAAAGTGATATCTCACATCATATAGAGTCACACTGAACATTCAAATGGGGGGGTGGCTGGCTGGTGGGGAGACCACTGCTTAAGGACTGGCTGGACATCATTAGAGCAGAAACAAGGTGAAGCTCATGGTGATACAACCATGACACAGAGCATCAGACAGACTCACAGGAGCAAGACAGAAATTTCATTTATCTACAAATACATTTTGGGGATATTAAGGTGAGAAGCAGCATAGAAATGGTTTAAGGCTTGGATGGAATGTTGCAGAGAGGCCAAGAGGCTCAGAGGGAAGTTTGCATGAGGAATTTGTGACAACAGCTAAATCTCTTCTGGAGGAGGGTTCTGGCTACACAAGAGAACCTTAATATATAACATATCCGTACCACCTGAACAAGAAAGCTTTCATGTACTAGAGGCAATATCATCAGGAGAGGATGAAGTGGCATGGGAACTGTGTGATCTCTTGGGCAGAGACATCTGACAAGAGATGTCGTAGAGCAAGTGCCCACTTGTGACCTCCAAATATTCCCTCCATCCCAGAGAGAATATGTCTTGAAACTTAATTTGTGGCAGGCAATAACTTATTTACAGTCAGTAGAGTGAGAGAAACTTCTGAAGTTGGCCTGAAGTTGCTCTGTGTGACTGCCTGTATCTCTTCATTAGTTGAAGGGGACCATCGCGCTCCTGATTTGGGCACATCAGTTTGGTGCTTACAATTCAGTGAAATAGATCTGAGTGTCGTGATTGGCTTGTGTACTGCGTGCACTCTGTCCTTCAAAGATATCTTCTGTTTGGGTTGAAAAAATGTCATACACGTGTTTGCCAGCACTGCCATCTCTCTTCTCCACTCTAGAGCATCTGCAATGTTTAGATCCCACCTGGAAAGAAATGCATACAATCCAGACCTGTAAATCTAGCTTGCTTTACCCTGCACAGCCACTTAAAGTTAGTTGTATGCATACAATCGTGTTAAAGATTCACTGAATCATCAAATCTTAGAATCCCGGAGTGGCTTGGCTTGGAAGGCACCCAAAAGTTGGATGGCATGAGTTGGATGGGACTATGAAGATCATCAAATCCATCATAGAGAAATAGGACAGTGGAATCACAGAATCATAGAATTATAGAATGGCTTGTGCTTGAAGGGACCCATCGAGTTCCATTCCTCTTCTATGGACAGGGTTGCTGCCCATCAGATCAGATTGCCCTGTGCACCATCCAACCCGGCCTTCAACATCTCCCGCCTGGACACCTACATGTGCAGACTGCAGTAGGGATCCTGCTTTGAAGAGAGGTTGGACTTGGTGATCACTAGAGGACCCTTCCAACCCCTACAATATATTGATTCGGAGATCCTGTCCAGGGATGGAACATCCACAGATTCTTTATGCAATATGAGCAAGTAAGTGATAGTGATAGTGATAGCGATAGCGATAGCGATAGTGAGAGTGATAGTTCAAAACCACAAAAAGGAAAAATAAGTAGCCACATGGAGAGATGGGAATCATCCCTCAAAACACCAAGCTCCAACTTCACGTCTCCATCATCGTCCCATGGCACATCTCTCAGAAAGAGATGTGAATGAACAAACTACAGCAGGGGAAATTTAGATTGGATTTTAGAAAACAGCTTTTTATGATGAAGGCAGAGAAGCACTGTCACAGACACCTCAGAGAGGTGGTGGATGCCCCGTCCTTGGAGACGCTTGAGGGTTGGACCATAATCTGAGCAACCTCATCTAGCTGTAGATGTCCCTGTTTGTTGCAGGGGCGTTGGACTAGGTGAACATTAAGTATCCATTCCAACTCAAACGATTCTATGATTCCATGACTGTGAAAGGACGAAGAGCCACCAGCCCCAAAACCCAGATTAGAAGCTTAGTTGCTACAAATGCCTTGCAGGCTGGGGCATGCATGAAGCTTACCAGAGCACACGACGCCTGCATCTTCTCCATGGTTGCAGTTATGGACTCCCCAGGGCCTTGCAGCACATTCGGAGAGCGCTGATTCCCTGCTGGAGCATTTCACATCATCCAGCCAGATACGGCCAAAGCCTTGCCCAAAATAAGCGGATCCTGGGGCTGACATGGCTGTCCCGCAGCCCAGCTGCTGGCACACAACTGCAGCATCGCTCAGGTCCCAGCTGTCATCGCACACTGTTCCCCACTGCTGGCCGTGAAGCACCTCAACTCTCCCAGCACAACGACTAGGGCCGTTCACCAGCCGGAGAGGAGCTGCTTCTGCAGAGCCTGCACATAAAGCAAGATAAAACGAGAGATGCACACATAAATACCCTGCTGCACCTGACCCTAAACCTGCTGAGAGTAGACACGTAGTAGTGTCTCTGTACCAATCAAGGTGCTCAGTGGATGAAGAAAACATCCTGGTTGGTCAGGGCTTCTCCCATAGTCAACCTCATACTCTCCATCATGCTCTGCATTGCTGAAATACCTCACTTAGGACTTAAGGTTTCCGATTCGTTGTCTGCAAGATGTGTTTGTTACGTGGTGTGCAATGAACCAATCTCACACACACAGATGAGGTGTTGCTTTATTATGAAGATGGGGCTAATTTTCCTTTCTGCTGACTGCGCTAGTCATAATGATTAAATACATCTTTAGTTTGTACATTTCAATGATGTCCCCATCTTTGAGTACAAGCTTAGTAGCCAAACTATGATCAGGAGTTTCTTTACTTAATCAGCAGTTTCAGGTGTGGTCATCTGATCCTAGACAAAAGCCTGGATTTGCTGTACCTAAGGGAGCCCGTATAAAGATTTGTAGAAAGATTAATTCCTTCTTGACTTACAGCACAGTGTGGAGGAATACTGATTCATCCCTTCCTAGCAGACATGTTTCCAAGAGTTTACTGAACCACTTTGTGACACAGAACACCATTCTTGCTCTGTATGAAGAGCAATCTGCCCTGCCAAGCTTGGGAATAAAAATTTAATGTTGTCTATGGATAATACAGATGTAACCTATGCAAATGCATATATTTGGCAACCTCCAGTTAGTTGTTGTTTCCCATCTGAGTTGCCTTTCGGAATCTTTGCCATTCTTCAGCTCTCATGTCAGAAGAGTGGAAATCCGATTTAAGTGTCTCGTTCTGCTGGACATTCCAGTATGTATTATTGTATGTTGTATATAGCACTGTATCTTGTACTCCAGGTTCAGGTGGTAGGTTCCCATAACCTCATCAGGGATGGGATGTTTTGGGGACCATTTTCAACACTAGTAAAAGCCCATGAGCCTTCAGAATCTGATGTGCAGGAGACTCAGCTTGATACAGTTATCAGATGGAGGTCTGATCATGGTAACCCAATCATTCTGGACCAGATTCTGGTGGTGATTGTGGACCATGTAGATTACACAAGAATGACTTTATAGACCACAGTGACTGATAGTAGACATTAGGAACAGCCTGAGCTCAGACAAGACCTCCTACTGAGTCTTAAAATCATTTTTCCATGTTTCTCAACACTTTTGAGACCGAGATATAGGAAGGAGTTACCTGAGCACACCACTCCAGCATCTTCTCCATGTTTGCAGTTATGGGATCCCCAGGCCTGCAACTGACACTGTGAGAGGGCAGCCTCTGTCCCTGCACAACTGACATTATCCAGCCAGATGGGGTCAGACCCTTGTCCAAAGCGAGCTGCGCCAGGGGCTGATATTGCTGCCCCACAGCCCAGCTGCCTGCACACAACATTGGCTTCTGCTTTATCCCAGCCGTCATCACACACGGTTCCCCACTGATGGTCATGAAACACCTCGACTCTCCCAGTGCAGAGATTTGGGCCGTTCACAAGCCGAATGGGAGCTGGTTCTGTAATACCTGGCAAAAAAAGACAGCAATCACAGAAACACAAGCACCAATCAACAAATCACAAAAAATCCCAGGGACATGGACAAGCTGCAAGAACCAAATTATGTTCACCATGGCGGAGTTTTGTACTTGGGTTGGGGTAATCACAGATATGCAGACAGACTGGGACAAAAACTCACTGAGAGCAGGGCTGCACAGAAAGACTTGGGGGTTCTGGTGGCATTGGAACAGGTTACCAAGAGAAGTCATGTATGCCCCATCCCTGGAGGTGTTAAAGATAAGGCTGCATGGGGCTCTGGGCAAACTGATCTTACAGGTGGCCACCAGCCAATGGCAGGGAGATTGGAACTTAATGGCTTTACAGTCTCTTCCAACCCAAACCATGCTATAATTCTATGAAAATGTCAAGGAGCACTGTATGGCTCAGGGCTCTGCTGAAGTGAAAAACAAATGTGGATCACATCACTAGCCTTTTCTGCAGAGGTCTAGGATGACCAAGGCAGTCCTGTTCTTTTGCACCATATCGTCTTCCCAGGAATATTCCCCAGTGCCTCTGTCTCTGTCATAATGCTGTACAGTTATGGTTTACAGAATGTCCATTTCCTTATAACTCAAAGCCAGGCTGCTGCACATAACCAGCTCATAATACTGCAGCACAGGGGACTACCCTCTCCCCACTTGGCTCATACTACAGATGTGAATTCAACTATCAAAAAACACACACCTGTTTTGGGAGCCAGTCACTCTCACCTGACTTCCTGCTGTCACTCCAGAGGAACCTCCACAAGTTTTCTATTATATCCCCCAGCACTGTGCAGTGTCTTGAATCCCTTAGGTCATCTATTTCACCCCTGGATTCATTCATTTTCTTCCTCATGCAAGACCAACATTACAATAAGCACATCCTCAAGTGACACATGTACCTCTCATCGCTGCACTCCTTGTTATATGTCTCTGAGAAGGATCAGGGAGTCTTGGTGGAAAACAGGTTGGCCATGAGCCAGCAGTGTGCCCTAGCAGCCAAGAAGGCCAATGGGATCCTGAGGTGCATCAGAAAGACAGTGGCCAGCAAAGCAAGGGAGGTGATACTCTCCCTCTACTCTGTCCTGAGGAGGTTACATTTCGAGTGCTGTATCCTGTTCTGAGCTTCCCAGTTCAATAAAGACACAGAACTACTGGGGAGAGTCTATTGCATGGCTACAAAGATGATCAGGGCCTGGAGAACTTCCCTTATGAGGAAAGGCTGAGAGATTTTAGACTCTTCAGCCTAGAGAAGAGTATGCTTAGTGGGGATCTATCAACACTTGTGAGTGTTGATAGATGAGCAGGTTTCAATGGTTGGGACCAGAATCTTTGAGTTTGTGCTCAGCAAAAAGACAAGGGGCAATGTGCACAAACTGGAACCCAGGCAGTTCTATCTGAACACGAGATAGAACTCCTTTACTGTGAGCATGACAGAGCCCTGCAACAAACTGCCTAGAAAGGTTGTGAAGTCTCTGGACATATTCAAAACCTTCCTGGATGATTTCCTGTGAAATCTACTGAGGGCAACTCCTCTAGAATGGGGATTTCCAGAGGTCCCTTCCAATTGTTCAGCTTGAAGAAGAGAAGGCTGAGGAGTGATCTTATCAACACTTGTAAATATCTAATGAGCAG